CCCCTCCCCCCGCCCCCCCTCATTCGTGGTCTCAGACTCTTCTTAATAAACCCTCATCAACGTCTTACATTTGACCTGGAAGTTCCTCTGTGATCTATCTAACCCGTACATGTATATTTATTCACATGGTTATTTTTTCTTAGTTTGGCTGAGGTTAGAAATCGGTACATTTCTGGTATAAATCTTTCTTAAACTGTGGCTAATCTTTAGATGTTTGTTTGTTGTTAAGCAGTGGTTTCAGAGGTTTCCTCCTCAAAAATCAGTGTCATCTTCATAATACACACTTTTATTCACCCAGAAAAACATGGACAACTTTTTGTCTCAATGATTGGATTTTCTTTCTGTGGTTCACTGGTTTGGTGGTTGTTACTGTCTAGCCTTGAGGTTGTAGTTTTTTGGTTACTGCTGTTTCTGGACTGTTTATTGTGTAATTGTGTTTTTCATTCCTGTTGTGTTCACACAGTGGCTGTGGTGTGGAGGTGTGTGTTCAGTTAAGGTTTAAAAGCCGCTTCACCCACACTGACAATGATTGGATTAAACTGAGGACACGTCATTATAAACATGCTGCAATAACAACAGTGTCCTTTCACTTCACACTGAGTCACAGACATGACAGTACTGACCTTTTAAAGTTTGTACCGACAAGCCCATGATGTCACCACAGAGCTAACAGTAGTGACAAGTCAGATTTAAGGTGGCATTGAAATGTCCTCAGTCGTCCTCGTGTGGACTGTGCCATCAGGTCTAGTACACTTCTACTTGATGATAAGACAACAGTCCTGACCAACACCTCCCAGGATCTGAGCTCTGATTGGTGTCTGCTTGATCAGTCCTGATGACATGGTGTGGGCTGTATTACCTGTAAAGATCTTTCCTTAAGTTTTGATTTCTTGTTGTCTGCCTTTCAGAGAAATGTGATGGAAGAGTTAGTGCAAATGGATAGATAATACTGTATAATGGTGCCACCTACTGGATGTAAATAGAAGAATTTGAGTCAACTGCTTAGATTGGTCTTTGAGATGATAAATTATACTTTGTGATGCTGCACTATAAAAGCACTATAAAAAGTACTTAGTATTTTGAAGGTCTGGACAAAATACTGAAAAATATTCTGTTATTTCAAACTGGTCAGATTCAAACTATGGATTAAAAATATGACATCATTCAATTTTATTACAAATATTATAGCTAAAAAGAAATCAATCACACAAAAATGATAACATCCATAACCTGGCAGTCTTCCAAACGCCTTTTAGTTTCTGTAATATCTAATCATAGAATCAATATTAAAGTGATGTTTGAATTAAAACATGATTATTTGGTTCTGCTCTGACATTTGAGCAGGGACTAGCGTCAGTGCTAATGGAGCATGGAGGCAGGGCAGACGTTTGAGGCTACCATTATAGCAGTCTTACCCACATGAGCTCAACCCTGTTCCTAATGGACAATAATCTTTTTTATGGACAGTCTGGGCCCGGCCACACCCAAACCTCTCTAATATGATGTATTTCTCCCTCAGGCCATCACAGGTCCTCCGTAGTCATGGTGTGTGGTGCTCCAGGTCTTGGGTACATTCTGCTGTGTCACATCAGTCAGACCTGTGGATTCTATGGATTAGGGATGCTTGTTTTTAATCACCATCACTGTTATTAACCTTGACACATAGTGATTCAGAGGTTAAAGGTCAGAGTGTCTACGTAGTATTTCCTGGCATCTTTACAGTACATGTCCAGACTTTCTGAGCCTAGACAGACACTGAGACCTAAACACTGGTCAGAGTGTAAATGTACAGCATCAGTGATACAAAAAATATGTGCTATATATAGAAGTGCTATATGAATGAATGCATGTGTGATAGTACTTACCTAGTCTGAAGGTCCGAGTGGTTGATATAACTGAAGGACCTCGGCATGAATTCAAATGGTTTAAACCTCTGTTTGTTTTGTTCTGGATTCATGTAATGTTTCCCAGACAATGATCCCAGATGTTATTGCTTCATTTTCCAGTTTCCATTTATCTCTAAGTGGGCACCGACATTACAATGGAACCACATACTGAGAGAATTATAGATATCTGCCTAATTGCATGTTTTTCCTGTTTTATTGTGTTATCATGGTGAGACTTAATACAGTTTAAAATCGACAAGCAAAAACATCACTCTAACTTCCCAGAGCTTCAATTCTATTAATTATGTTGTACTGTATTATTATTTATTAAAAAAAATAATAATACTAATACTTTATTTTACTTTACTTTGCTTCCATCATGTGGTCAGGGAGAGAACTGTAATTTTACTTCTGTTAAGTGGACGTTAGACATTCAGTGCTGTGAAAAAAGAGTGTCACTGCTTTACGATGTTTTACACTCATTAATACATGACTGTTAGCATGTCGTGGTCTGAGCTCTCGGGATTGTTTGGATATATACTTTTATTATATCCCCCTTGAGTCTATTATTTAAAATAAATTGGTTTCAATTGTTAGTCCTGATGATGGCCGCTAGACGGAGCCAGATACCACAGAAACAATGGAAAGCGGCATTGTTCCAGAATTTAAAGTAGTTGTCTGAAGTAGAAATATTCTGGGGAGAGTGAGAAGCCAGTCTGCAAGAGACACAAATGTGGAATATTAGAAAAAAGTGTCAGTTGAAGTGTCCACAGTTTGTTGTCTGACTTTTCAACAACCGTTCTGATCATTTTGTTCTCTGGGAGCATCAGAAGATTAAACAATAGATGACTCTCCTTCAGTTTGGAAATTTATAATAAACATAAGGTCATATATTATACATTTTCTGAGTTGGTAATGAAAATATATTTTATGTCTGAATATTTAAAATTCAAGGTTACAGAAAGTGAAAGTTCAAACATATGCTCAACAGTAGAGGTGCATATCTCTGTAAAACAGAGTCAACAATGAAGAACATAACATTATGTTGCAAAGAAGATCAAAATGGTTTAGATAATAAGTCCCTCTTGTCCAGTCCTGGTCTATTCTCTTTTAATCATTTTCTATTCTTATTCTCTGTGCACAATATAAAAAAACCAACAACTCGTACTGGGACTTATGGAGCCCTGTGCATTAATGTTGCCACACATCAAGTAATAACCTCTGCTGCACTTGGCCTGTGGCCAATAACACAATCGGCCTGACCTGGTTAAGTGCAGTTAGTTGTGTTCTCTCAGCAGTTTGCTGCAGACAGTGATTAGATCTGCAGCCCACTGACACTGAGATTGATGAAAGACAAACGGAGCAGAGGTGAGAGGAGAGGATGGTGGTGGAAACAGGGCCTACCTGGAGCAGAAACCAGTGATGTTGTAGTGATCTACATATACAGTAGAGAGGAATCTGCTTCAGTTAATCTCTGGTTCAGAGCAGTCAGATGAAAGTAAAGCTACTGTACGAACCCCACAGCTCATCCTACAGTTGGAGATAATGAGGGATTAGACCTGGTAATCCCATCTGAAGTCATTTTATAATGGGGTGACAGCTCTGTGATTAATCTCAGACAATTTTCTTGGACTCTCAGTTGGGTTTTTTGAATACAGCTTGTGATGTGAAACATTTATGACCATTTGTCACTGTTCAAACAAGCCTCACACTGAATAAAATGTAGTGAGTGCTTTATATTATTTCTCCAACCCTTATAGAATAAACATGCTTAACAACATATTTATCAACTATGTTAGCATATCATCACAGCCCCCGGCTGTTTATTCTGTAAGATGTGTTGAATGCCTTATAAATACCTTATTTTATTATTCTTTTTCTCGTTTTCTCTCAGCCAATCAAAATGCTCTAGTCTACTATTACAGGCCCAGTCTAGTTATTAATTACCACAGCCTGCACTTCTTTATCTGCCAAAGCTCCAGTGATTCACTGGTCTCACACTGCTGTGGTGTTTATTGCTCCTCATTTAAAAAAAGGTCAGACAGATGGCTTTCTAAATATGCAGGCCGTGTGTGTCACTCCATGTCTAAATCCACAACAATAAAACCGTAGTGGAAAATTATTCACGTGATGGTAAAGTGAGTAAATTGATGACCAATGTGGAGTTATGGCATTATGAATTTCTACCTCAAGGTGGTGCCACAGGGAAGTCTAGAGAATTACATGTCATTTTTACCAGTGTCTGAACCAGAATTATTGACAAAAATTCATGAAAATTGACAAAATAATAATTGAGTGAAACTACAAGAGAAAAACAAACAAATGAGCAGACGTTGGGCTAAGATGTCTATACAGTATACTGGAAAAAGTACTACCAAGCTTTGGGAATAAATAACAGTCTTTGTAGATGGAGTTTGCATGTCCTCTTTGCAAGTTTCCTCCTGGTACTTCCAGGGTGTCTCCCACCCTCCTTAAACGACTGCTGGGATTGGTTGAGATAAACTCATTTCATGGGTTCCATTCTCTGTGTTCAGTGGGCAATTAACAATCTCAAAAGTGACATTTATTTGTTATTCCAAAAAAGTTTTCGGCCCACTCACATGATTGGATTCACATTTAAAGGATTGCTTTGTACACACAGATTCACCTCGTGAAGCAGGAAATATAAACCGTGCTTATAGCGCCTCCTGTGGTGAAGGAAGGAGGGAGGGAGAGTTCAGTGCTTGGCGTTAACAAAAACATGAACGATTTTAAGTGAAAATAGAAAAGATACACAGTCAGTGAGGAAGCTGAGTGGTACTGCATGTATACTCATCAGGAGTTGTAGCCTGTGCATTAACAGCACTCTGTTCTTAGAACAAATCCTCGCAGGATCTTCCGGCTCTGCCCAGTGTGAACATCCTCATCCTTCCTTGTTTTTATCTCTGAGCTCCAGCCAGTTGGTGCTGAGCGGAGGTATTCATCCATCCTTTTTCTCCTGCTGTTCTTGTCCCCCTCCTTCCCCTCCTCGCCCCCTCCTCCTCTTCCTCCTCCTCCTCCTCCTCCTCCTACCGTCTCAACCTCATTTCTCTTCTGTTTATATGTCCCGTGGAGACGTCACGGACTGTGAATGTATCCGTGTGTGTGTGTGTGTGTGTGTACGTAGAGGATGGCTCAGAGCTCAGGTGCAGACGGCAGGCTCGGGGAGGCAGCTGGACCACAAAGCTCTAGGATGGACTAGGGGCTGGACCTGGAGCCCCCTTTTTTAGACTTGGATCTCCATTAATGAACATCCAACTGAATCATTTTTATAACATTTTTGAAGAAGAAGATAACTGCACCAGGCTTTGGAGGTGTGTTTTATATCACTGATCACTGGCACTTAATTGCACTTTAAGCACAGATCAACTGCCTTCTCAGCTGTGGCTCTGGACTAGAAGGAAGAGAAGACATTGTTCAGATTCTGTCTTGCCCTGGACCGGACCTTTACTGTGTGCCTGCTGTGGAATGGAGGAGTGCTGCTGAAAGGCAGAGGAACACCCTGTAAATGAGGAGAGGAACAATCCTCCCTGGACCGTCTCCATCCCCTAATACCTGTGAAGGCTGCCTCTCTGGCTGCTGAGGAGAAGAGAGACACAAGAAGACAATTAGCTAAGACAAAGCAAAAGGCTAAAGTGGGTGCTCCACATACCCCTCCATTCATTCATCCCTGCTTCTCTGTTTTGCCACCTGTGAGGATTAATTGGACTGAGCACCATGGCGCATGCTGCCTCACAGCTGAAGAAGAGAGCAGACGAGAACCTCAACGCTGCCGAGGACGAGAAGGAAAAGAAGAAATTAAGAAAGCGGTCTCGGGAAGTGAAGAAAAAGGTAGAGGACGAGAAGGGAGTGTGGGAGGATGAAAGAGTGGAAGGATGGGGAGTTAAGAAGTGGGGAAAGGAGATGAAGGAAGGAAGGAGAGCTTAGAGCTGACACAGGGCAGAAGGACAGGCTTGAGTCTGCCTTTGTCAGCATGCTTTTTGCATAGGCACATAGACATGTGGTGGGATCAGAGAGGTGGTCCCACTGGGAATAGTCAGGGGGGCAAATGGGTGAAAGGCGCATTCACAGAGGGAGAGATTGATGAGCAGTGAGCATGGACTGAGAAAAGAGAACACAAGAGGATGTGACAAAGGAGGTCAAATTAGGATTTTAGGCAGCTGTGGTGCTATCACTATATAGAGTATGTTAAATATAGCCGTACTCACTGGTGGTGTCTAAAATCATATTCAGGTTAAATAAAACATCAACAATGAACACCAGGGCTCAGCTCGTTGTGGGTGTTCTCTGTTTTAGACGGCAAGTTAAATTCTAATGGTAACTTTTTTAGAATTCTCTTGATCTTCACCTTCATACCATCACAGCATACTTTTCATTTTAGAATTGAAAGGTGAGTTCAGGCGAGTGAGGAGACCAGAAACATCAGCAGTCACACCCTGCAGTCTCTCTCTCTCTCTCTCTCTCTCCCTCCATGTCTCTCTCTGTCCGTGGGCGTGTGTATGCGTGTGCATTTGATCAATGGGTTCAGCTTCAGATCAATAACCACATTCCAACCGAAACTTTACCTTAAAATTCAACATTTTCAGTTGTTGTTGGAATAACTTTGTGAGATTGATTTTTAGTGAATTCTTCTGTTTGTCTGTTGTTGTTTTTGTTTTTGCCTGGTGGCGTTGGGGCGTGTGTTCTTGTTGCGAATATCTGTGTATACACGTTAAGCAACCCGAGGCCATCATCAGCTCAGGGTTAGCCACCTGTCCCAGAGAATCAATACCAGTCATCTCACTCCAATCCAGGTCAGATTGGATGGAGAGGTGACCTCCTGTGGCCTGTTAGAAGTTAAATTTGGATCTGAATGATCACATGTTCACTGGAAAGTAATCTCTGAAATAGTCGGAGGGTATAAATATTGAGTACCTGGAAGGGCTGCCAGAAATACCACCTCTTAACCACCCATCTGACTGATAAGTCAACTGGCAGATTAACATTAGACTGGAAAAATACTCTCTAGTGTTTTGGTATCCCCTCATTCAGGCTGTAATGACTGACTAACCTAAAAATATCAGTGTCCTTTCTGAAAAACCTGTGTGAAAATGTCACAGGTGTACTAAATCAATGTTTGTGTGTGTGGAATTGTTTTCCCGTCATACTAACTAATTAACCTACAAATAATTAACTTACTCGGCTGGTTAGTGTCAGTTCTTCTTTTATTGTTGTGGTAAGTTTTAGCTAAAGTTTGTTATTTCTAACACTGGGTGAACTTGAAGGGAACTTTAAATGCTTGCTAAACTCACCTGTCAGCCCCCTCAACACATTTGATAGCATGGTATGTAGTTTGGCATATAGGGCACAGATGCTTCTTACTGTATATGACATACTTGGGTGCAACGAGTGCATAGTTTTCCATACATTTTCCATACAAACATTATGTATTTTCCATACATGTTTTTCAAAGGGCTGTTTAATGTCCTCATCATTAAGTTCTCATTAGATATTTGAAAGAAAAATCCAGTAGCATCCCACCTTATAGCCCAACTTCTTTTCATTGTTGGTGTTTCATGACTGTTTCTGATGAGAATGGAATAATCTTGATTCTTGGATTTTGAAGATGAAATTCACATGTACAATTTTCTCTGAGAACATTTTACTAGCTGTGAGTGACAAACAGTAATGACTGCAGAGTGACAGTGAAACTGTGGAGAACAACCCACAAATACAGCAGTTAATGATTCGTGATGAATCTGTGCTGCATGACGACATGTCTTTGTCAAAAGCTGGGAAAAATTGAGTCAGATCTGCTTCACTTTGACAGAGTGGGTTGAGTTGAAATGGAGAAGAGTGCTGTGACCTTGACGGCTCCATCTAAGGTGCAAGCAACACATTAAGAGTGAATATTGTCCGTATTAGGGCAACAAGTAAGGGGACGTGTTGCTGGAGTAATGTGTACATTGGGTGACATCAGCAGTTTCCTGTCGTTTGTAGTGTAATGGAGGATATCAGATATCTTGGCCTCATTCAAGGTAAATCTATAACACTGTCTGTCCTGGGCTGATTCTTGGCACCGGGGTGCAAAAAATATCCTGGCTCCCTTTTCGGATCACATCACCTCAATTAGATTTTTTTTTTTCTTTAACCTTTTTTTTTTTTTTGCATGGCGTTACTTGATCGCTCTCTCTTTCTCTCTCCCTCCCTCCCTCTCTCTCCTTCTGTCTTTCTCTCTCTTTTTACTCTCCCCAGACAATGTAGAGTTATCTGTGCTGTACTCTCAGTGTTGATGCTACTGTCTCTCCCTGTCTTACTCTCTGTCTCCTGTTACCAGATCTCTTTTTTCCCAGTGTTACATGAGAAGATCATAGGGTCAGACTTGGATATGACATGTATTTGGCTCATTAATTTAAAAGTGGGACCAAGGGAGTAGGACAAAAGCAGCAGTTAGCCACTAGGGGGAGACTTCACAGGAGTAAAGAATGGAGGCAGGGTGAAAAAACCATAAAATAAACACTGCATAACCATCAATTTGTTTTTGTTTTTTTAAAGTGATACATCAGTAGTAACCACAGTTGTTTGGTTGTTTTTCAGCTGTTAAGAATGAAGAATATAGTTAACCATTACATGTGTGGCTTTGAAAATGTTCACCTCTATTCCAATTAATACAACTAGTCAGTTTGGTTCACTATTATAAACCACTGACTGTCTTAAAAAGCTTACATTTAACACATGATGACCACCTGACCGAATCAGTTACCTGATTGGACACACTTATGACATCACTGATGACACTGTGCTTTGATAAAACTTAAGGCGTTGGGGCTTTCATGCCTTCAAATGTATACCAGTAATGTAGTATCAGCTCAAGGGTATGTAACAATCATAGCCGATACGACAGGAACTGTGGGGAACAAGAACGTGCACTATAGTGTATAAACATCAACGTTGGCTTTTAAAGTGTTCTTGCGCTTCTCTGACTTACATTACATGTACCTTATATCCTAAAAGCCTTAAGTAATGCAATTAGCAGTAATGTCGTGTACTGTATGATGTGTTTATGCTTCTAACAGGAAGCAGGAAAACAAAAGGCAAGCATTAGAGCACCACTGAGAGCATGTAGTCAGTGTGGCTGCCATTAAACCCATTAGATTCATGCTTGAATATTGTACCAAACACGCCGCAATGTGCTTTTCTGCTGCACAGCCTAGTGAACGTGTGTGACTCTTGAAGAATCGCAGAGATTAATGTTAAACTAAATGTCCAGTGTGTTATTGGTCAAATCATCGACTTCTACAGTACTCATCTGTTTGTGTTGGCGACTGGACGGTTGTCTGATGAACTGACTCTCTGCTGTGCTGAGCTGGTGTCCTGCTGCTCAGCAAAGCTGCTTAGGAAGGCTGACAGTCTGCTGAGTGGCAGCTACACGTCTGATCGTAGGCTTTAATGATCACTGCATGACTTCCTTTCTAAATAAATATTTACATTGCCTGCAGACTGCCGTAGTAATAGTAATGAGTGCAGGATGTTATTGTGACAACATTTGTCCGGAGTCAGCAAAGTGAAACGTTGGCAACATTTCTCTTCTTCCATTACTTTCCATTATGGTCCTGGAGCTCACGCTTTTAGAGATGGCCAGACTCCAGACGGCTTGGTCTGGTGGCTTCACCTGACCTCCATCGTGTCCTCTTACTGAACGACACACAGCTTATTGTGTGTTATGTGCACACTTTCATAAAAGCTGTAAAGAGCAATAAAGCATACCATGAAGTAAAGGACAGTGGGTTTGAAATGGCGTCTTCAGAATGGAATCAGATCCTGGCAGCACATTTATTAGTGTCTTTTAACAAATATAAAAATATAAAAAGTGCTCGTCTGTGAACCCGCTGTGATGATGATGATGATGTTCTGGCGTTGTGGGCTAACTAACCTATCACTGGCAGCAGTGCCTTATATCATCCCAGGGAAAGCTGGGTACAAAACACTCATCAAAGTCTTTATATGCAAATGAACTGCACTCAAACCAGAAGAATGAAGATGTGAAAAGAGAAGTTATGTTTTCCTTGTGTCAATGTATCCCAGGCTTTTAAAAAAAGAAGCTCTTCCAGCTGTGGGCAGGGATTATAAATATTAAGGTTGTCAAATGACTTAAATATTTAATCTATTTAATCACAGAATGTCCACGGCTTTATCACTATCAATCCTGATAAATTGTGATTTTAAGGCGTCACTTTATCATGACTAACTGGGGTATCAGCTTGTCAACTGTGCACTTACAGCACTGACTGTCCAGTGTCTGTGAGGCTGGTCTGACTGGAAGCTGGTCTCTGGGAGTCTGACCTGATACTGCGTGAATACTGAAGCCTTATACTGGCTGTCGACCGTGTGTTAGAGGAAGAACAAGTGAATGGAAGAAACAATTATTAAATATACTGCATGTGTATAATAATCTGAAAATTGCAAATTAATAATTTGTAAATAAAAAACATCTGACTGTTTCCAGACCTATACAATCTAACCCTCAGCCTGAGTTATGGCCAACGTCGCTAAAATGCAATACTAGAATCAGGTGGAAGAAAAATGCAAGTTAGGCAAATTCCAGTGATTTTTCATTTGACTTTGAGTGTTTCTTTTTGCTGAATCTAAATGATGTGATAAAGTGATAGAAAGTAGCAAGAGTGAGGTGTGTAGAAGATTGGTGTGTCAGTTTGCTCAAACATTCACTCTCAGGAGAAGAATCAATTGAAGTATTTTCCAGCTGCAGCCTCTTCTGCTCCTCTGTATTATCTTCCTTTATCTTTGTGTTCCTGCTGCTGCCCAGTCGTTCTGCTCCTCTGTCAGATGGCAGA